ATAGGCAGAGATCAAAGGAATGGAGATTACCCAGCGCCTGTGAAGTAATTTACACCTTGGTGTCTTCAGGCAGCATTATAATGCAGGAACCGGCTTCCTACATGGAACACTGAAAGCAAAGCATTGACAATCAGCAGGGTGCAGAGGAATGTTGAAAAAACAATCCTTTAAATCTATCACAAGCAAGTGCCAGTTTTTTGGGATGGCCACAGGGGTTGGCATCTCTGGATGAGTGATACCTGTGGGCATCATGGTCTTATTAACCTGTCTCAAGTCTTGTAATAGTTTCCATTTACCTGATTTTTTTCTTAACAACAAATATGGGGGTATTCCAGGGAAAGGTAGAAGAGACAGTGTTACTGGCATTGAGTTGTTCCTGGACCAGGGCATGAGCAGCCTTCAACTTTATTTTAGATAGGGGCCATTGTTCTACCCAACAGGTTCATCACTTTTCCAGGTGAGAGGAATTGGAGATATATGAGGCTGTGGAACAATGGCCCCCATTAAAAATGTCCCAATCCTCTCCAGTCTCCACAGGCCCTCCACTGGGGTTTATCTGATACAGGCAGGGGGTCGCCCTGTAAATTCTTCCCAATCCCTTTTCCTGGGCAATAGCCTTGCTCTCTAAGCATGTGCTGTACAGGAGGCATGGCCAGTATGACCCCCATGGCTTCTAGGACATTTCTGCCCCACAAATTAATTGGGATGTGAGACAAAATGAAGGCCTGAAATATACCAGAGTGTCCCTCATCATCCTTCCAAGTTAGCAGACAGGAACTTTTACTAGCTCACTTAGCTATGCCTATGGCCCTGTGAACTACTATTTGATTCTTACAGGGGCCAAGTCTTAGGCCAATGGTTGAGGGAAATGACAGACATGTTAGTGCCCTTGTCCAAAAGCCCCTGAAAGGTCCGCCCTTCAATAGTCAGGGTCATCAAGGGTCTGGACTCCAGAGTGGACACCCAGCATGCCATGGGTCCTGTAGATCCAAACCCCCCTTTTCCTGTTAAGGAAAGGGTTATTAGTTGCAAATTTAGGGGACAGAACTAACTGAGCAACTCAAGCACCTTGGGGTATTAACAGCTTCCACCATAATTTTGATCTCTCCTTCAGTATCTTCATCAATCACTCCTGGAATTACCCTAACTCCCTGAAGTAGAGCACTACTTCTTAAAATCAACCCAATTGAGCCCGGTGGTAAAGGGCCTTTGACTCCCATGCTCAAAGCTTGGGGTCCCATCTGAGGAGTCAATACTGCTCTGGTGGAGGAGCAGAGGTCCAGTCCTGCACTTCCTGGGGTACCTCTGACAAGGTCCTGGATACAAAGGGGTTCCTCTGGGGTAGGACCTGAATAGGGCGGGAAACCGGTGTATCCAAGGCTCCATACACCTGGGAGTAAGAGACCCAGAGTGGGCCCCAATCCAGTTTCCTGGAGGTGGCAGAGGGTTACCCTGTACATCAGTCTTTGACTGACATTTACTGTCCCAATGATACCCCTTTTTACAGTGGGAACAAAGACCTGGCCCTGGGTGAGGGGGTGCAGAGTCCTTAGCAGGACAATTTTTCTTGAAGTGACCCGACTGCCTGAATCCAAAGCATGTCTTAGGTCTGGCTTCCTCATTGACTTTCCTATTTTTCTGTATAGCAGAAACAATAACTTGTCCCATAATGTGATGTCCATCTGTATCTCTACAAATGTGAATGTAATTATTGAGGCTTCTGGCCTTATGAGGACATAAAGCCTCTTTAAAATACTTGTTGGAATTTTCTAAAGCTAGTTGTCTAACTATAGGCTTGGCATTATCAGGATCCCCAAATATATGCACTGCAAGTAGTAGGAGCAATTCCACAAAGTCAGAATAAGATTCAGATGGTCCCTGTAGGACCTTAGAAAGTTGGTCTCCTATGGTCTTGTTATGTAAGGCTTTCCATACATGGTCAGCAGCCGCTGAGATCTGTGCATATACAGCTGAATCATAAAGAATTTGCTGCATAGGTCTGCATAGGCTCCCGTGTCAGTAAGCATTTCTGAATTCCTTTTGGGGAATCCTTCAGCCATGTGCCATTTGGTTACATAGTTCTAAGAAGTCACCTCTCCAAATCAAATAATCTGCCCCGGACAGTGCAGCTTGACATAATTGTTGCCAATCCACTGGGGGTGCAATTCAAGGCCTCAAAGGATTAAAAAACAGCCAGATTAAAAGGGGCATGAGGCCCGTAAGCCATAACCACCTCTTTCAGCTATTTAATATCCTTAAAATTAAGAGGGGTATGCTCTCTCTGATTCTGGCCTTGGGGAATAACTGTCTCTATGACTGGGAACATTACTCTGCCCCTCTGCTCTTCAGGAGAGGCTGAAGGAGACAGTCAGCAGACCTGAAGGGCACAATAGGTCACCCTTAGTCATGAGATGATCAGCAGACCCCAAAAGGGTCCCAACAGGTCTGGAAGTTCCTCTGTGTATAGAAAACTCTTCATCCTAATCCTAGGCCTACTTTAGTCTTACAGATCAACCCTCAGCCCACACCAAACCTGAAGCTCAAGAAGAATTCTGAATCTCTGGATGCTATAAGAGGCAGCTCACCTGTTGCTCTAGGCCACCCCTCTACCACTCAGGACGTAGATGCCTTGCTGGATTTGGTGCCAAAATCTCACTTCTTCTAGACTTGCCCACCTTTCAATGCTGAGCCCTGTAAATTAGGGTACCAGCCCAAGATGGTTGATTGGACTCATTTGCATATTTATCTTACCATGCCCTCCTTTCATTCCACTCTCCTCTTTAATTGGTCCTTGCTGGAGGGAGGGATGAGTTGCTACTACCATCAATGTCTCCTCCTCTTCTCTCCTGTAAGAGTGCATGCGTGTGCCTGTGTGTGTGAGTGTGCCTGCCCATGTGTATGTGCATGTGTGTGTGTGTGTGTGTGTGTGTATGTGCTCATGCAGGTGCTTATACCCATACCAAGGACAGAAGAGGATATTGGGTGTCCTGCTTTTTAATTCTCTGTCTTATTCTCTTCAGGTCTCTTATGGTGAGAATCTGAAGCCAGGCTGGCAGCCAGTAAGATCCAGCAATCCTCCCATTTTCTTCCTCCACAGAGCTGGTTCAAAGCTCATGAGCAGCCTTGTCCAGCTGCTTATGCAAATGCTAGGAAACTGAACCAGGTTCTTAAGCTTCTGTAGAAAGCTCTCTTACCCACTGAGCAGCCTCCCCAACCCAGCCTTTCCTATTCCTTGTCAGATAGAGACTTCCTTTCTAGGACGCTTTAAGGCTTGATTTATTGTGTGATTGTAGGGAGACACAGTAACCATGCCTCCTAAGGGGCAGCTACAGGTATGCCTGACCACGCCTGTCAGGGTGTGGTCAAGGTGACATGGGGAAGGTTTAAGAGTGAAGGGTGCGCACATTGAAGCCCCTTCTTCCTTTTCATCATTGGCTTGGTGCATTTACTCCTTGCCCTACTGGTTGGCTAGGTTGCTCTGTAAGTAAGGCATCTCCCTAATAAATACCCTTATATCTATACCTGACTCTGTATTGGTAAGTCTCTCATTATGTGATCATAAGTTAAGCTGATTTCCTTTCTCAAATATATCATCTCTTTAAATATTTTGTCAAACAGTTGAAAGACATTAGTTGGAGCTTATCAGCTGAACATTGCCCTTAGTATAAAATTGTCCTCAGTTACTGCATTTGTATATATGCAAGAAATCTGTGGTCACCTGATGCAACTGATGAGCCCCCCCTTTTCAAAATAATATGTGTAGATACAAAACAAAAACAAAAACAAAAAACAACATAAGATCACAAAGGAATCCACATATGTTAGAAGTCAAATTTTCAAAAAAAAATTTATGACACTTATTCTAAATATCTTAGTAAGATTTAATTTATGCCCAATAATAATCAAGTCTAATCACTACCTTAACTTAGAAATTATGACATTGTTATTTTATATTTCATGCTATATACAACTGAAATAAAATATAAAAATTCATGATATTTAAACTAATAAGTCAAAGGTAATGACTGCTTCCACAGTTTGTTGACTGCGTTCATGATGAAAGTAAATTTTAAATTTCACATGGGTTAGTGAGAAATGAAGATGTAATGTCATCGTTTTGGAGGTGGTGGGGCCTGGGAGAATGAAACCAATAAATGAGGTCAACTAAAGTCTCATGCAATAGTCAACTTTATTCAGAGCATCAGACAATTTATACTCTGAAGGTTAAGAGTCACCCAAGTAAAGTGTACAATCACAAGGACAAGCCACACATGGTAAAAACATGTTTTCCCATAGAGGCTTATAAATAACAATAGCCAGTTGTAATGAATAATCTGAAGTAAACTCACTCCTATCTGCTATACCTGGGAGAAGCACAAAAAATGCATTCCAAAAACAATTCCATGTTTTAAAGAAACTGAGGTCACAAGACTCTTGTTTTCTGGAATTTTCTCACAAGCATAGAGGACACAACTCCATTCTTGGACTATGTTCTGACAATGTCATTTATTTCCATTACTGTTTATGAATGTGTAACTTCTACTGTTTAGGACCCCTTATGGCTCTAGACCCCTGTTCAGAGTGAAGCATTTTTTGTTTTTCCTGTTCAGTATGGAGCTACTAGGAGCATCAGCTCTTAAGACTTGTTTCCTTTAGGGAAAAATGCCTGGTGCACAAAGGTATGGCATAGATCAGCATTTTTGAATTTTTCTTAAGTTCATATCACAATCACTTACTCTGAATAGTTCATTTGATGCCTTGCCTAGTAGTTTACCTATTTCTAATGTTTACTTATAATGTAGGTTTTGCTTCTAAGTGCTTATTTTTGTTAGGAACGTAAAAGGTATTTTTTAAGTAGAAATCTAACTCTTCAAAGGGGATATCTGAGTCTGATTGAAGGCTGCACCTAGCAAATGCCATTTGGAAGGTGTTGATTAAACTATCGAGTGCTAAGGATGGTTCTTGTACACTAAAGTTGTGTTTCTGTGACTTTACCCCAGTCCTGCCAGCTAAGCCTGAGAACATTTCCTGCGTCTTATACTTTGGCAGAAGTTTGACTTGCACTTGGAGTCCAGAGGAGGAAACGGGTGATACCAACTACACTGTGAGGATGACTTAGTAAGTGTGGGAACTGCATGTGCTCTCAACAGGGGGCAGAGACTGTGTGTGTGTGTTCATTCATGAATATGTACATTAAAGAGAAGTCTACTTTATATTTACATAGAGAAAAGAAAAAAAAGAAAAACAGTACAAATCTTCCCCCTGGGGAAGAGGGAGGACATGTGGACTGCCTCATGGCTGTTAGTTTTTAAGTTGTGACATGAGTACCTGCAAACATTAACCACAGTGCTAGCAGCCATCACAGGCCACACTTACTGATTACTCCATTCATAGAGTTACCACATGAGGCTTCACTTACTTCATCCTGCACAGACACCTACTCGGTGCAAACATTATCTCCCTCATTTTACAGAACATTTCAGCACAGAGAGGGGTAGGAACTAGTTGGAGTCACAAGGCTACTGAAAACAAAGCTAGTATTCAAACACAACTCCTCCTAGAGCCTATGCCTGTGCCAAAACACTACCGCAGGAGCCATTTTTGCATGAGAAACCCTCCAGGTCCTCATCCTCAGATTCCACATCTAAGCTCTGCCCCTCCCTAGCACACACTGGCAACTTGCAAACTGAGCCTCCTATTCAGTTCTGCTACATCTCTGCAACTTCAGGACCATATAGGCTATGACTGTGCCCACCTGTGACTGATCTATAGGCCATATGACACCTTGGAAAATGGAGCTGATAAATGAGGCAGAATAAAGTCTCATGCAATAGTAATTTTATTCAGATCCCCAGACAGTTTATACTTAAGCAGGGTCACATGAGTAAAGTTCTCATGAGGTCAAACTGCATACAATCACAAGGACAAGCAGCATGTGTAATCTGAAGTAAACTCATTCCTATCTGCTACATCCAGGAGGAACATGAGAACACATTCCAAGAACAATTCTGAGTTTTGAAGAAACTGAGGTCACGAGACTCTTGTCTTGTTTTCTGGAGTGTTCACACAAGCACTCAGAACTCTCCTCACAAGTCTCTATTCCTGGACTGTGTTCCCACATGTACCCACCCGATTCCTGTTAATGATGTGAGGATTACAGCTTGAGAGGGTCTATCAATCAGCTATCAGTCACTGATCATTATCTATTATGTATTTATCATCTGCTCTCATCTTCCTGTTCTATTGCTGTGAAGAGACATGGTGACCAAGGCAACTCTTACCAAGAAAACATTTAATTGGGAACTTGATTACAGTTCGGAAGGTCAGTCCATCATTATGGCAGGGAGCATGACAGGCTGGAGCAGTAGCTGAGAACTTTACCCTGATCCACATGTACAGCATACAGAGGTGTGGAGGAGGAGATGAAAGAGGGAGGAGAGAGAGGGGAGAGAGCGCATGGACATGCCCGTGCTCGTGTACACACACACACACGCACGTGCGCACGCGCGCGCCGCCTGATGTGGGCCTTTGAAGTCTCAAAGCCCACCTCCAGTGACACATCTCCTCTAATAAGGCCACACCTCCTAATCCTTTCCAAATGATTCATCAACTCGGGACTAAGCATGCAAATATCTGAACCTATGGGGTCATTTTCATTCAAATCCCATCTACCTATCCTCTGTTATCTATTTATCACCTGTCAATCTCTTATCTGTCATTTATCTGAGTGTATAGCTATCTATCTTAATGAGTTTTTAAAATGATTATATAGATGATTAAAAATTTCAGCATGAAACACATGAATGTTTTTAATTGCACCATCAGAAGGCAATAATTTAAATGTTTTTTGAAGAGCTTTCCAGGCATCTCTGACAAATCACATAAATGTATGTTTTTATAAAACTGATCATTCTGTACATGCTATGTATTCTATTAGGAGGTGAGGCATCTTTCCGTACCAGTAACCATGAGTATATTAATAGCTATAATTTTAAATATTATTTATACTTATAATTTATTTAGCAAACCCTCTGATGGTTTCTCTATGCAGCCCTGGCTGTCCTGGAAAACACCCTGTAGACCAAGCTGGCTTGGAACTCACAGAGATCTGCCTACCTTTGCCTCCTGAGTGCTGACATTAAAGGTATGCACCACCACTGCCTGATTTGAAAGGATAAGTTCTTACATTTTTGGTTGTGAGCCTAGCTTTAACAGCTGAGTTATCTCTCCAGCCTGAAAGGATAAGTTCTTAAGGCTCTAGCTTTGATATTCTGATTCTAGTCTGGAATTTGAACCATCTGTAAAAGAGGAATGTGTTCTGACATATTCTACAGGTTTGGTTATAATCTTGACTTCCAGCAATCTGTTGTTTCTGATGGCAGGAATGCATGGTTGTATAGTCTGGCAGGTCTCCAGGTCTGTGGTTTACAGCATCTCAGGCAGGCAGGAAGCAGGTACCCTTGGCAGAGATGGGCACCAAATCCTGGACCATACAATTATCCTGAGAAACACAGAGCAAAACTAACAAATACTGCTTAGTACTTTTAAGTATGATTTTATTTTCCAACATCTTTACTGAACTCATGTTGAATTCTTTTTTCTTTCAAAGCTCCTTTGGAAAAAGCAGTTGCACTAATCACACTACAAAGGCGTCACATTCTTTTCTCCGTCCGTGTATAGTATTACCCCCAGATATCTGCACTGTTGAAGTAGAAGCTCAAAATGGAGATGGGAAAGTGAAATCTGACATCACAAGCTGGAACTTGGACCACATACGTGAGTGGCTGATGATATAGGTGTAGTGAAACTGAATAATTACTCTTGACTTCCTTTTCAGAATAGAGGAATCTTTGAGCTCAAATGCAGACTGAGTTTGAGGGAATAATAGTTATATGCTGTTGGGCCTATAAAAGGTACGTAGTATTAAAGAAGGGAGGGGGGACGAGAGGGAAGGAGAAAGAAAGGGAGAAGAGGAGGGAGTAGATGTGCAATTCATTGAGAAAAGAGAATGATAAACAAGGTTTCTGGCTGACCATTGATCTTTTTTGCAGTATGCGACATGAATGGTTCTCAGAGAAATAAACAGGGCCCTCCCCAACATGTCATCACTGCTCATGAAGGAAAAGAGGAACTCTTATTTTTAAAAAGTGACGCCAATTGTCATCTTTCAGGCTTTTTTCAAAAAGTCACTTCTTTACCATATAATTTAAAGTAACTGCTTCATTTAAATATAACTAATATACTATAAATTCAAAGTGTTAGTGTGCAATTCAGTGAATTTATTATATACACAAAATTGTGTGAATATTACCACTATTTCAGCAATAGGATTAAATTCAATGTAATAAGAAAAACCACACTTATCAGTAGCAAGTTCCCAATCAGTTATTTACCTTTTCCTCCAACATCTAGCAACCTCAAACATGTTTTTTATCCCTATAAATTTGCCTATTAGGAGCATTTCATATAAATAGAGTCATGTAATATGTGGCCTTTTTTAAAAAAATCTGGCTTCTATAATGTTTTCAAGTTTGTCATTTATTAGGACTCTTCCATTTTAATGGTTGAATTGGGATTAAAGGCATGTGTCACCTCTGCCAACGGCTATATTGTGTTTTAAAGTTTCTATTTGGAATAGGTGATTTACACATATTTTCTACCTTTGGATGATCCTTTAAATTTTTTGATGGTGTCTTTTTAGATAACAAAATAACTTTGATGAAATCAACTGTTTCTCTGTTGTTGCTTGTATTTCAGGTATTGCATCTAAGAAAGAAATCATTATCAACGTTAATTTCTTTCCTTTTTTTTTTTTTGGTTTTTCGAGACATGGTTTCTCTGTAGCTTTGGAGGTTGTCCTGGAACTAGCCCCTTGTAGACCAGGCTGGACTCGAGCTCACAGAGATCCGCCTGTCTCTGCCTTCCAAGTGCTGGGACTAAAGGCGTGCAACACTGCCTTCCAGACCAACCTTAATTTATTGCTGTGTTTTCTTCTAAGGTTTTTAAATTGCTACACATTGGTCCCTTCCTAGTAATTGTTTTGTTTGTTTGATTTCCGTGCTTTGGGGCAGTTTGACCTCACACTCTAGAGCTAAGACTAAATTTGAACCCCTGGTTCTCATATCCTTCACCTCTCAGGGGCTAGGATTATAAACCTGGACTACCATGCCCAGCCCATTGAGTTCACTTTTTAAAAGGTGCCTTGTGGTAGAATATTATTTTCAGGTGTGTGGCTTTTGTTTATGCTGCATTTGTTTAACTCTGTGAAGCTGTGTTACTGTGCCTGTCTAAAACACCTGGTGGTCCTAATAAAGAGATGAATGGACAATAGCGAGGATAGGTGGGGCTGGCAGGGAGAGAGGAAGGAAGGAGGAATGAGAGAGAGCAAGGAGAGGAGGACATCAGTGTCGTGACCCAGCATGTCTTAGCCTTAGTCCATGAGGTTCTACCTGAGTGGGGGTGTATGGACCTGGAAGCTTCGAGCAACCCAATGGCAATAAAGACCAAACACAGGCATCTTGTCATCTTCAGAGAGCTTTCAGTTCCATGTTGTGGAACTAGAATCATTTCTTTATTAGCCATCTTTTCTGGTGTCTCTTAACCATCCTGCTAATACTAGGAGGCAACCATTTCTCTCTTTGTTCTCCTCTCTTCACTTCTAACCTTCTGTCCTCAAGTTACTCACAAACCTCTGATCTCCCTGCCCAGGTGCAGGCCTATACAGATGCTTAGGTGCATAGATATGCAAATAAGGAGGCATATTATCCTGAGGCCATGGTAAACAAAAGTAGCCCTGCTGACATTAACAATACAATAGTGGGCCAGAGATTCCTGGTGCCACCGCTGTTGACAGACCCAAAATATTCCATAACAGGGATATTCGGTCCCCCACACATCAGGGGTCAGCCACCCAACCATCCAGCCAGCCATGGAGTAAGAAGGAAAGTAAGATATATAGAAATAAGGAAGTTAAAAGCCCAGAGGGAAAAGGTAGGCAGGTTAATTTAAGAAAAGTTGACTAGCAACAAGCTAAACTAAGGCCAGTAAACCTCTGTGTTTGAGTTATATGGGAGCTGAGTGGTGGGCCCCTCAAAAAGCCAAAAGAGCAACAACAATGCCTTTTATTTAATTTGAAATATGTGTCTCGGTGATGTGGGTGTGTGCACACACATGGGTCCAGGTGCTTTTGGGGCCCCCAGGAGTTGAATCTCCTGGAGCTGAAGGTGACTGTGGGCTGCCTGACACATGTGCTGGGAACTGAGCTTGGGTCCTCTGTGGTAGCACTACCCACTCTGAGCCATGTCTTTAGCCTCCTGGGATAGTTTTTAAACATAGTATTGACAGTATGGATCAGCTTTATGTTACTATAACACATGTCTAGACAATTTATAAAGAGAAAAGACTTGTTTAAAGAGGGCTCAGCCCATGCCAGCTGTCCCCATTGCCTCAAAGCTATTTACTTCATGGCTGGAGAACAACACAGAAGAGAGAAGTAGTAGTCAGGGCTCTGTTGTCCCCTTAAATACCCAATGGCAACCACACCTTAAAATGACACAGCCCTCCAGGACCCATGGGTAAGAACCAAATTCCCAATACAGGGACCTACGGAGAAGCTGGATGACATTCTTTTGGAAAACTAAAAATTTTTTGCTTTGGGATTTTTTTAAAAAGAAAATTGTGTTTGTTATTTAAGCCAAGGTATCAATCAGATACAGAAGTTGTTTGAAGTTGTTTCAATCTTCTTGCCTCAATCTCTCGAATTATGGGACTATGACTGTGAGCTTCTGCACTTGATTAAAACACATATTTTCGAGAAAAGATATTTGGGGCTATGATGTTGTACTGTGCAAGGAAAATGAGTGGCATTTTCTGGTGGCCCTTTTCCATCATAGGGGGCCAAGGACCCAGGCCTGCTTGATGCCTATGACATCTCTTCATAAACAGTTCAGTTGTAGTTTATTCTGAGACCCATGTTTTGCTTATGATTGCATCATCATCATTGAATGTATTCTTATGTTTTGCCACTATTATGCCTGGCTTTGAGTAAAGGACTGATTTGCAAAGATTCATAGGATCAATCCTTTTTTGGATGGGCATGCTCTTTCCTTTGGTACAGGGGCTTAGGAGAGTGGCATTCTTTTTCCACTGACTTGCTCATGGATCTGTGTATAATGAACCACAGAATATGGACTGTCCTTGGCTCTCTAGGGTTACTGTGGTCTCAACTCTGGGTGGATATTGTTACTATCTTCTGTTTGTAAATATGAGGATTGTATTTTTTTTCCAGTGAAAACTGAACCACCTATAATTCTAAGTGTGAATCCAATTTCAAACCAAATGTTCCAGATATGGTGGAAACCCTTGGAAAGGCTTCGTTTGTATCATCTAAGGTGCACACTTCGTTTCAGGACTGTTAACAGTACCCACTGGGTAAGTTACAGCATTATGGTATTTCTACTAGAGATCCAAGCAAAGACCCTACTGACAACTTGTGTTCATCTGGAATTGTGTTTTTTACTTTTTACGTGAAAAACAGAAAAAATTAATAGTGACTATTATACTTCCCTATTTTCCATTTGTATTTTTCAGCTTGCAAGCAAATTGTACAATATGCCTTTTGTATTCTGAGCACAGTGACAGCCTGAAAAATTAGAAATTTGCTTTCATATTATACTGTGGTTTGTGAATGGCAGTATTGACCACCAGAAACTATGATTTGGCTACTTTAAATTTTTTTAAAAAATCTTTTATGAAATATATAGCACATTTTAAGTGAACAAAATATACATTGTATCTAAGAAATTGTTATTAAGTCAGCATTCATGTAAAACCCATCCTAATTAGGAACAGAGCATCCACAGTCTGCCAGAGCCTTCTCCTCACCCATTCCTCATGGCCACCTGCCCTTAGAACAGGGGGTCTCAACGTGTGGATCGTGACCTCTTTGGGGGTCAAATGACCCTTTCACAGGGGTTGCATATCAGATATCCTGCATGTCAGGTATTCACATTATGATTCATCAGAGCAGCAAAAGTACATTTGTGAGGTTGCAATGAAATAATTTTATGGTTGGGGATCACCACAACATGAGGAGCTGTTTTAAAGGGTTGCACCATTAGGGGGGTTGAGAACCACTGTCTTAGAGTTAGCTACTTCTTCATGACAATCATCTCTCTGTCTTTTGTTTGTTTGCCTGGATCCCTGAAATGCATCACTTATTAGACATAGAAATAGAATGTACATGGAGTCCATGTGTTCTATCTGTCCTCCTGCCCATTTTCCTTCCCTCCCGCTGGCTTCCCTTTCTTCCTGCTTGCCCTCCCACCCACTCTCTTTCCCCCTACTTCTTTTCAGCTTTCTGAGGCAGAAGGCTGCCTCATTTTGTAGCCCAAGCAGGAGTCACAGTGATCTGTGCCTCAGTCTCCTGAGTGCTGCATTTACAAGCTGTTTTGTATTTGTGTTTGGCTTTGTTCTTTTAATGTAGTGTTAATGCTGCAGTTCATGTATTTCCATTGCGTGAATGAAAAGGCACCATTGCTGTAACTAGCAGTTACCAGGCTTTTAATGAAACTGCACCAGACTTTTCAAGGTCCATCGGCCATTTAGATTTCTTCTTCAGAGTACAGACTTAAGCCTTTGCATATTTCTGTATTGTGCTGTTTTCTGTTTGAGTTTTTGATTGACTTGTGTGCATTCTTCGTGTATTTAGCATCTTTTTTTTATATGTACATTTCACTATCTTGGCTCTAGTGACGATAAACTCCAATGGACAGAATTTAACACTGTAAGATTTTTATCAGTCTTGGTCTATGGTCTTTGTGTTTTAAGAAATCTTTTTAACCTCAGAGCTGAGAAGACGTACCCCCATGTCCTTCAGTAGAGGTGGAAATGACATCACCTTTCTGTTATGGTGATCCTCTCACACTGCTGATATGGTCAGTAACCAACAATAAGTCAGTTAACTCTCAAAGCCATTTTCCTCATAAGGCTTGCTAGTAAAATGCATTTCACTGTTTCAAAATTTATTGCATCTTAACCAAAATTCAAGTTTTTTTTTTTTTATTGCCATTAGACTTCTTCATTTTGGTCTCACCCATCATTTCAGCCCCAAATTTATTAACATTTCCCTCTCTACTGTTCAAGACCTTCAGTTTTGAAGTCTCCCAACCAAAAAAAGTACAAGGCCAGATGGTTTCAGTGCAGAATTCTACCAGAAATTCAAAGAAGAGCTAACACCAGTACTCCTCAAATTGTTCCACACAATAGAAGCAGAAGGAACATTGCCAAACTCTTTTTACAAGGCTTCAATATAGTTTTTATAAACAACAGATAACCAGTTTTATTGTTGAAACTTGACTTGATTAGAAACAAAAAGCTAAGTTTTTAGTCTGTCCTAGGGGATTAGAACCAGGGACTTTCAGAGCTTCAGTAATGCAGCATCCTCATTTGACTAGTGAGAAATTGACACTGAGAGAAGGGAATGGACTTGTTGACCTGTCGTCTTCCTAAAAGAGTGTGAATTTATACATCTAGGCTGCCAAGATGTATAGCAGCAGATGGTTAGCAGCTTGCATGGTCACCCAAAGAGCAATGGTTAGAAATGGACCGCCTGGCTAAAGAGAAAGAATCTAAGAGTGAAGAAATCTCTCTCTTGCTGATCACAGACATTGAGGTGTCCAAGGTCACTTAACTATAATATATGGATTAACCGTGATGCCACTTAAGTCTTTTTTACCCTCCCTGAGTTGTGTGAGGCTAAATTTCTGAGTATCAGAGTCACTTTTTAGTTTAGACCAAAGACTGGGTGGCCCAGGGACATTCGGCTCTGTGTTGTACCTCCAAAGACAGTGGACTCTCAGTCACACAAACTTCCAAAAGGAAATGGAGAGCATGACAGTGATTCAGGGTGTGATCCACATTTATATATAAATGTCTCAGCAAGAAAGCACAGAGGCCGGAGTGGAGAAGCAGGAAAATAGAACATGCTGTCTCCATTTCTGCTTAGAGTCCATTCTGTCTTTCAGACAGAAGTCGATTTTGAAGATCATGACTTGGTCTACAACCTCACAGGTCTTCGGGCTTTCACGGAATATGTTATAGCTCTACGATTCAGAACCAGCGAGTCAAGATTTTGGAGCAACTGGAGTAAAGAAAAAACTGGGATGACTATGGAGGAAGGCAAGCTACTCTCCACTATTCCGCGTCTGCTTATTCTAGTGCAGGGTTTCCTAGGTCCATGCATTTTGACACATGCCATGCTTGGGATTCATCTTGGGAAACCAGGTCCTAGAGTGTCTGCAGGTCCCTTCTCCATAAGCACTGATGGCATCCACTGAGCCCCTAGGAGTGAGCCATGCTCCTCAGATGGTATAGTTACTATAGCAGCTTTATGTTTCCAGAAATCTAGGATCTTATGTCTCATACTTTTTAGGAAGTTTTTAAAAAAATATTCATTTTATGTATATGAGTGCTCTATCTGCATGTATACCTTTATGTCAGAAGAGGACATCAGATCCCACTATAGATGGTTGTGAGCCATCATGTGGTTGCTGGGAATTAAACTTAAGACCTCTGGAATAGCAGCCAGTGCTCATATCCTCTGAGCCATCTCTCCAACCCTTCTTAGGAGATTCTTACACTCTAGAAGAATGGTATCATTTCCTCTGAAGACATCCTATAATTTGAAGCTATACATCTTAAACCTTAAAAATGGCTACAAGGGCCAGGTGTTGGTGACACATGCCTTTAATCCCAGCACTTGGGAGGCAGAGGCAGGCGGATCTCTGTGAGTTTGAGGCCAGCCTGGTCTCCAGAGTGAGTGCCAGGATAGGCTCCAAAGCTACATAGAGAAACCCTGTCTCAAAAAACAAACAAAACAAACAAAAAGGCTACTAAGTACATGAATATAGTGATATACAAGACAGTAGGTCACATTTTTAAAGATGTCAAGGGAGGATCTCTGGGATCAATATCTATACTTATGGCCCAGGATTTTTTTTCTTCCTGAACCTGCTTGAGTTTCCATGAGACCAACTTGGAAGTACCGGATATTTACCATATTCAGCCTTTTGGTTAGATTCTGGAACCCATCTGATACCTTCTCATTTGCATTCCCCATCCGAGGTGTTTAGGTTTAGTTTCTAACTTTCTCTTCATGGACATAGCTTCATGTGTCACTTGCAGAATTGTGCCCTTCTTATCTGAGATTCAGTTCTTACATGTTCTGGTAATGTGAGCAAGAGACCATAGAAAATCCAAATCACATGCTTAAGTGTTAGTATCAGGCCTAACATGTCATGATGACTATATTAAAGAAATAAATTTTTGATTAAAATTGTGTGCATTTGGCATATATCCTACAGACATTATCTCTGAATGCTCAAGCAATACAAATAACTATAGGTATAAAACATCACATAAAATGTACAGTAAGAAATGGTCAAATGGTGCTAGAATAATCAGGGCTATGTCCAAGCTGAGCTCTCTCTGTAAAAACATCAGAATGAACCCCATGTGGTTGCCCAAATTGTCCTCTTCCTCAGCAACATCTTCCTCAGCAACTTTTCACCAGGGAATTTGGTGATTAATAATACCCAGAGTGTGGTTGTGGCTTGACCAAATCTCCTTGCTATAGCTACCATTTTTCTTTCATGGTGCTATCAAGGCTCATTCTCAAGCCTAGCCTGCTTTTCAGTTCAATATGTCCTCATGCCACTGTCCCCAACTTATTTTGCTGTCAGCATTATAATTTATTGTTTCTTCTGCTCATTAGTTCAGCTGGCTGCCATTTGCTGACTAAACCACATCAACACTTACATATCATCCCTGGAGAACGTTGGCTCTGAGTGGAGATTTCCTCTGCTTTTGTTTTTCTTCATTCTTTTTTGGGATCTTAGAGAGCTAGATCATTGTATGACCTAAACCCCAGAAATTCTAAGTTCTTGTTTTCCAACTCATAAGCCATCTATTCCTTACTTTACAATGGAATTCTGGTTGTCTAATTCATATAACTTCAAACCTTATAATTGTTTGAAAAGTTCTAAGCCAAATTGAAGTGCTACCTTCCCCCCCCCCCAACCTATTGATTGTTAGGACTATATCTATTGATTTGCAAGGTTCTGTTTAAATATCTATTCATATGGTACATATCCAGGACTTAAATCCTGGCTGTATTTCTTTAAGAGCTTGTATAATTGGGCACTTCCTTAATTTCTCTGAGGATTCACTGTCAAATCCCCTCAGTGATGTGGCTGTAAGAGTTACATGTGCTCATCCAGGGGAGACATTTAGTGCAGTGGTACTTGCTGGAAGTTAGCTACTGTCACTGTTGGGCATTAGTAGTTCTACTAGTCTGTTCTGATTGCAGATGGAAGGGCTACTGTAGTAACATACATAGGTGCCAAATCTCAGAGGACATAAGATTTCCACCCATCTTTAGGGGACCAGGTGTATCCCAAAGGAGTGTATTTTACTACACCCCCTTTACATTATTACTAAGTTATCACACCAAGAGCAGTTTTATTTTGAAATGTGGTCAATTCTAGTCAGCAACAAAATGAAGACCTTGTTGGGTATTGACTCCTTCCTGTCTGCCTTATTTGTCCCCTCAAGCATCTCCTTGCCAAGGGCCCTGCACAGTGGCCCAGTGAATATTGACTGCTACAACCCCCTTCTGTCAGTCATGAGCTTCCTCTTGTTCTTTCCAGTTCCACATATCCTGGACCTGTGGAGAGTCCTGGGACCAGCAGATGTGAATGGAGTGAGGAAGGTGCTATTGCTGTGGAAGGTGACCTCCTTTTGTCACACTTAACTCCCTGGTTAATAACTTTTGATGGTGGCACACACCTTTAACCCTAGCACTTAGGAGGCAGAAGCAGGTGTAGCTCTGTGAGTTCAAGGCCAGCCTGGTCTACAAAGTGAGTTCCAGGACAGCCAGGGCTTCAAAGAGAAACCCTGTCTCTAAAAACTGGAAGAAAAAAAAAAAAAAAAAAAACCAGAAAACCTTTGGTCTCTTCCCCTTCAAACACTGCGATTCTTGACAGTTTTGAGGAAGCTACCCTGCCTGCCCTGCCCTAGACTACAGTGTAAGATTTTTGCAGCCTCATCCTTATACCCAAGAAGAGCACTGGCTGGAGTCAGCTCACTGGGGCATCGTGTCATCTGATATTGCCAACACATTTGATAAGCATGTTCCTTTACGTACTAGAATAGTGTGGTGTGCAAAGGCCAAAGAGTGGTCACATGATCCTTTCTAGGGTGAAAACCTTGACCCCAGGGAAAAAGGAGAAGGTGATAAGTGATACAGGGAAGAGGGGAAAGGAGGAACTAATAAGAAATGCGGAGGGGAAGGAACAGAAAACAAGAGTGTAAAGGTAAACAGGAAAGGAAGGGCAGTTAGAAGAAAAGCTACAGGAAACAGAAAAGAAAAACGGGAGGTTGGTGGGAACAAGAAAAGATGAGGAGGAAAAAGCTGTTAGAACTCTAATATGTCTCCAGGGCTATCAGGAAGTCGTCTATTTGCTAAAGTTTGGCAACTTAAATCTTTTTAAATGGAGACATCACCCTGCCTTGGTGACATCGGAAACCAATTATTGCAGGGTTGACACTGCTTTGGTCCATCTCCTTGGGACACCCTTAGGTGGCAGAGGCATGGGCACAGGAAAGCACAGCCAGGAATGCTGGGAAATCTTTGATACTAATCTCAGATGCAGTGAAATGTGGTGAGAAATGACTGTTCTCACATCTTAGGGGAGTAAAGTGAACAATGATGCATACCCTTGCAAGGCCTTAGCTATACTGTGGTAGGTAGGAGTCAAGAGGCCAGTCTGGGAAGTGGCCAGACCTTCCTGCCTGCCTCATCCTCCCTCTTGCTAGAGGACTGGTCTTCTCAATGCCTCAGTAGGAGAGGTTTTCTAAGAATTCAACTTATTTAGCAAAGTCTGGTAGTAGAAAAGGTTTTGAGATTTTATGACTGTCTTGAAAAATCATTGACTTGTACACATATAACTCGTGAAGATGATAGGCTCCATGGTGGTCTAGCATTAAGGCTGTGGGCATGATTCCCAGCATTGAAAATGAACAGACAAATAAAACTCAGCAAAGTTATAAAATATGAGCTCATGTCAGCAAAGTATAAAGAGGAATGATAAGGTGTTGTCTTGAGAGACAACATTAGAGAGTTTCTAGCTGGTCTTTTATTGTTGTGGTCAATGAAAGGGAAGTTCCTGGACTGTGATAACGCTGGGTCAAAGTGAATTAAAACACTAGCTGACCACACATCCACTCATTCTGCTCCATGATGTTTGTAATAAGTACCAAAAAACTTGTAGTCCCCATAATTCCCAGGAAATATCCCATATGCTTACTCACAGGAAAATATCTGGTAAGTAGGTCTAAGTTCAAGACTAGAAATAAGAATTTGAGTCAGAGTTTCTGGGCTTGCACTTGGGCTTCCTGCTAAGGGGACTGGCAGGAAAGTCCTGAATATTTTGATCCCTTTAGCTGGATTACCTAGCTGGATGTTTGGTCCAGAACAGCTGTCTTCCCTCTGTAGAAGGGGAACTATGGGAGTAAAAGATAAAGGCATAGCTACCACACTCCCTTGACTTCTGAACTTGATTTTGGCCCAGAAGGGAACGCCTTCACTTTTTAGCATTTATGCCTCTTCCTGTGCATGCCAGAATGAAGGACAGAGAAGAAAGTAGACATGGATGCCTAGTTACCAGTTTGGATCCATGAAACTGAACTCATGTTAAGAGTTGATACCAAGGAACCATTTGGTAAATAATCTCTTCTGGCACTTGAAGGGTTGACATCACCACACAGCAAATATTTGTGTTGGAAAGGTAATGACCTGAACATAGCTTAGCATCTGATGGCTAACATGACATCGCTCTATTTATCACTGTCTTTGTGCCTTTTTCTCTTTCTGGTATTGGCAATCACCTTTTTGTTTCTTTGGATACAGAAGGCAAAAGGAGCCCCAGTCTTGGAGAGAACACTTGGCTATAACATACAGTACTTTCCAGAAAACAGCACCAACCTCACCGAGATAAACAATGTCACTAAGCAGCGGTATGAACTACTTCTGACGGGCCAGGCACACTGTGTGTCTGTGACTTCTTTTAATTCTCTTGGGAAGTCCCAAGAGGCCATCCTGAGGATCCCGGCTGTTCATGAGGAGAGTAAGTACCTCTTCCTCAAGTGTCTAGTTCTATCTAGTTGAAGAAGGAACAGTCTGTATCCTCCGGGTAGTTGTTCCCCTTGAATCAAATTGAGTAGTCAGAGCAACAAAGGCTCTTTAGGTTGTTGTGGGGAAACAGAATCTGCTGATAACTAACCAGCCCTTCCAGCCCAAAATACAGTTCCCTTGGAGCAAAGCCTGTGCTAAGAATTTAGAGTCGCACAGCACAGTGAGAGCCTAGGAGCTCTGCACACAGCTGTGGTTGGCACATAAAACAGTCATATTTGAGACCTATGTCCTCAGTGACTATGATCCTCTCCTGAACTCTCTTCTGTCCCAGCTATGGCTTGGTGCTCACTCTCCTGTTTTCTCTCATTTCTCTTTCCATTTGATGGTCCAGCTAGGAAAACTGCTTATATGTGTATACAGACTTGCCAGTAAGTTGCTTGGTAAAAATTTTTGAGACAAGATCTCACTCAGTAGCTGGCCTCTAACTTACAGACCACTCTGCTTCAGCCTCATGAGTGAAGGCATTGTTGATAACAGCCATCATGCCTGGCATCTACACTTTAGAAGAGTAGTTCTGAACATTTTACCTAACCCAGGCAAAGTGGCAAAGCCTTATTTTCTGTTTTGGAATAAAAAGCCTTGTTCAATTGGGTGTGAGAGAGCGAGCACTCTGCCACATGTGAGTATAGATTCGTGCATGGGTGTGTGTGTGTGTGTGTGTGTGTGTGTGTGTGTGTGAGAGAGAGAGAGAGAGAGAGAGAGCATGCGCACATATGAGTGCACGAGTGCACACCACTGTGGAGGCCAGAGGTGGATGCTTTGCTCTATCACGCTCCACCTTATTTTGGGCATAGGCTGTCTCACTAAACACAGAGCTCACCGACTGACTAAATTGCCAGCGGGAAACTCCCTGTGGCCCTTCTGTCTTACTCCCTTGCTCTGAATGCAGAGCCTAACTTTTATGTGGGTACCCAGGATCCAAAACCAGCCCCTCACACTTGAGTAGCAAGCACCCATCAAGTGCTCCCTCTTTCCTCCCAACATTTTCCCCTTCAAGAGGATGCATACCCCATGAGGGCAGTAATTTTTTAAATAATATTTTTATTCTTGAGAATGTCCTATGATGTATTTGACCACATTCATCTCCTTTTCCTACCCCCTAGATCCACCCTCTCCCCTAAAACCTCCTCCCCCATAGAGTTTTCTTCTGTTTCTCCCTCCCCCCCAAGTCTAGTTTGTGTTGCCCAACTACTCCTGAGAGTGGCCCCAGAGGGCAGGGTTTTGTTTGTTCATTTGCCACATTTTGTTTCTTTTATAAAAAATATAATTTCTGACATGCCAAATAACATAGCAGCTGGCATAGACATCTAAGAACTGTTCTCTCTAATTGATACATCTTTTTGCTTAGCCCAGCCTGGTTCATGCATTTGTACAACTAGCTCTAGACTTTTCTGACTATTCTTCCCCCTTCTCTTCTTAAACCTGACCCACTTCTGCCTTCATTTGGTGTTGAGTAAGTGTTTAATAGTATTGAGACAGAGTTTCTCTGTATTGCTCTGGATGTCCTAGAACTCCCTCTGGAGATCAGGCAGCCTCTGCCTGCTGAGTGCTGGGATTAAAGGTGTGTACCACCATGCCCAGTTGGTCCTTCACATCTTTGTTCCAGTGTCTAGGAGTCTAGTGATGTTTCCAACAAATGATGTGTGATTGGAGTATGTATTCTTTATTAAATGGAAGTACTGCCAGAAGTAATTAACCTCAGTTCCCACCATGACTCCATAACAGGACACAGTAGAGAACAGGGGATGGAAGCATGGTCCGTGGACTCTAGCAGCCCTGGGTTCAAATATTTGCTCCTTCACAAGGTTTTATACAATTAGGCAAGCTGTATAACATCTTTAAGATGGGTGTAAACTGGATCTCTTTTAGAACACACCTCTCGCAATAAATAGGATATGTGAAGAACAAATGAGATCCTCCCCGGAAATGTCCAGTGCTGGTCATTACCATCTTCATTTGTGTTTTGACAGGGTTTCATGTAACTGGACTGTCCTCAAACTCACAAAGGAGAGGATGGCCTTGAGTTTCTGACACCTGTGTTCCTTCTTTTCAAGTGTACTACCAAACCAGGTTTATGCTGTGCCAAGGACTGAAACAGGGCTTCAATTGAGTTACATCTCCAGGCCTGTTGCCATTGTTCTCTCTGTATCTCTGTCTCATTTTCTCCCTCTCCAGTGCTGGGGATTAATAACAGGACCCTGTGGGTACTATACAGAAAATCTCTCTACCTCTGAGCCACTGGATTATAGCTCTAACCCACTATCCTCATTCTTAATAAAGTTCTGATTAATTACATTTCTATTAGATATGGATTATCAACTTAAAACTACTATAAAATGCACTTTAAAGTTATGCTAAATTCACTTGGGAGTTTAAAAAATTATATTGAAACTATTGCCTGTAATGGTCCTAGACAAGGTATTGGTCAAATCTGGCTTAACACATTTTTATTTTTTGCAAATGGAGTTTTTGAAATATTGCCATGTGCACTTCATATGTGATCTGTGGCTTCTTTGTCCAACAGTTGTGTAATAGGTAAATGTGAATTATGTAGCCTGTGAACACTAAAATGCTTACTGTCTGGCTCTTATAGGGGAAGTTTGCAGAATGTTGTCATAGACAAGTAGGAAAGCTTAAGTCATCAGTGACCCCTGACAATAGCGATATTTGGTACAGTGCACATGCATGTTAATGGAGACCAGGAAAAGATACTGTCCATCATACCTCTAGCTGCAATAATTTATCACAGAAAACTATGACTTCACAAAATTTTGCTTAATAAAATAAAATCACCTGTGATAGAGTTAATAAGAATTTGATGCTTAACTATCATTGAATTAATATGGTCATCATGTGTTGTACATTAGGCTATGTCAGGCATTGTGATAAGATGGTACAGGTTATCTTAGCCGTGAAATGACCCATGATGCAGATGTTGTTAGATCTATCTTCTACATGATGAAAAGATCCAGGAAGGTTTTGTGCAAGATTTTTCTGGTGTGATTCCAGCAAGTCTACATGATGAAATTAGTAAACTGATGAAATTAGTGTTCATGGGGTGATTTTTGGGATTCTGGTCACAGATGCTGTACGAGCCAGGGTGGTTATTAGCCCCTGTGGGACCCATGTTCTCATCTTTAGAATAAATTATTGGCAGAGATAAAGCTTCAGGGTGCCTCTACTTGAATTTTATGTGCCTTTAGGCGCAGGCAGGAGGGGTCTGGTACTGGGTGTGGAAAAGCAAAGCTGCCTGTGGTAAGTTGGCCTGTGGGCAGTGGGACTGCATCAGGGAGAGTTGAGGATGACTCTGAGAATGTTGTTTGCTAGATCTGGGGTGGCTGTCTTCACATGGCTGTCTTCACATCTGTCTTAAGACATCAGTGATGCTCGAAGTCCATTGTCTTCCCTGCTTTCAGGGCTGATTTATCTTCCTCTTACTCTTGAGTGTTTCTATCGGGAGTAGGTGGATCAAGGTGCTCTTGATGAGCAAGAAGGAGCTGGCAATCAGCCTTCATTCCATAGGATGACTTAGAAACTTGTCTCTCAGCACTCCCTAACGAGCCAGGCCTCCCCTCTTGCATGATCCACTCATAGTTTCCGAACTCCTTCCCATGTCTCCTCCTCAGCCTCACACCTGGCACCTTAGACCTGGCTCTCCTGCTCTTTCTGAGTTCCAGGATTGGTGAGCAGGAAGAGTGTGAGGTTTGGAAGCCATGCTCATTCATCTCCAGGGCAGGATGCCTTGCCAACTCACTTGTTAACAAAATGCCTTCAGGAGACCAGAGAGGAAGTGGAAGACAGACTAATTATGCCAAGGGACTACCTTACTCTCTTACCACCAACTGGGCTGCTTAAAACAACAGGAACACATTGTCCCGTGGTTCTGGAGGCTAGGGGTATAAAAGGCAAGTTGTGAACTAGACCATGCTACCCAAGAGCCCCTAGAGATGGACACTCCTTTATCTTTTCTGCTTCTTATGTCCCTAGGCTCTGGCTTGGGGCAGCTCCAATTTCCCTTCCTCCTTTCCTTCCTTCCTTCCTTCCTTCCTTCCTTCCTCTCTCCCTTCCTTCCTCTCTCCCTCCCTTCCTTTCTCCCTCCCTCTCTTTTATATGTGTTTTTGTGCATGTTAATTTATGTACACATGTGGAAGCCAGACACAGACATCTTCTTTAATTGCTCTCCACTTTATTTTTTAAGATTGTGTGTGCGTGCGTGTGTGTGTGTGTGTGTGTGTGTGTGTGTGTGTGTGTTAAAACAGGGTCTCTCTGTCACCTTGGCTATATTGAAATGTTATGTAGACCAAGCAGGCCTCGAAGAAGATCCTCCTGCCTCTGTCTCCCAAGTGCTGGCATTAAAGGCACACACCACCACACCCTTCTAGATTTATTTTTATTATTTTTAATTATGTGTATATGTGTGTGCCTGTATGTGGGTATGCACATGTGAGTGGAGGTGCCCATGGAGGCCAGAGGCATCGGATCCCCCTAGAGCTGAAGTTTCAAGCACTTGTGAACACTCAATGTGGGTGCTGGGAACCCAACTCCAGTCTTCTGCAAGAGTGACATGTTCTCTTTACTGCTCAGCCATCCCAGCAGTGAAGAGACAGGTTCAATCACTGATCTTGGAGCTCCCCAACTTGGCTAGGCCAGCTAAGCAGATAGCTTCAGGGATTCTCCTGTCTCTGGGGAAGGGATTCTCCTGTCTGTTTCTGTCTCCCCAGGTATTAGGGATCAAACTCAGTTTGCCATGCTTATTTCTTAAGCCCTTCACTGATTGAGCCATCTTCCCAGCCTTGCCCTCCCCTAACTCTCCCTTTCCCATAAGGACATCAGTTAACGATGGATTCAGGGCCTACCATCCACATCATATCCCATTTCCACATAAAGTCATTTTCTGCATCGCTGGGGATGTCATTTTGGAGGATACTCATTGACTCATAACAGATGTGGGCAGGGAAAGGCAGGTGAAGGTAGGGGAAATCAGGGAGGCAGGAGGAGGTGGGAAGGTGGAGGAGGCAGGGGAGGAGAAGCAGAAGTCCTGTGGAAGAGGGAGGTGGCAGTGATGTCCAGGCTTTGTGCTTCTCACTCTGGCTCTGCCCCTGCCTCAGCTTCACACCCTCAAGCTTTACTTTTCTGAGAGCAACCCTTACATGTAGACAAATTACTTGACTTACTGGAAATTGGAATCTCAAATACAGAACCAGTTTGGGAAAGGAACCGCATGAGCTTTTAGAGACTAGAATAGGTTTCCACTCCTGCTGGGTGAGGTTTTGGCTTGCTGAGAATGCATGGGGCATAAGGCCTTTCAGGTTCTAGCTCTCTAGTGAGGTCTATTTCTAGAAACTGCTTAGTTTGGGGGGAGGCAAAAGCAGATTAAGAAGTCATTTAATCATCAGAGTTATTTGGTAAAGAAAAGGAAAAAGGATGTAAAAAACGGTAAACGCTACATGGAGATCTTGCAGTGTGGCAGGGACAGGATGCCAGGGTGGCAGCTGTGAATTCATCCTTTCCTCTCTCTTCAGCCATCCAGTGCATCGAAAGCATGCAGGCCTACCTTGCTGAGCCCCTGCTGGTGCTGGAGTGGGAGAGCTCCATTCCAGAGGTGGACACTTGGATGGTGGAGTGGCTCCCAGAAACCACGGAGTCAAAGTTCTCTGCCCTTTCCTGGGAATCTGTGTCTCAGGTCACAAACTGGACCATAGAGCAAGGTATGACTTCCTTGGTGCGGGATTTGGTTTCATTTAAATCAGCTTTTAAATTCTTTTTAAAAGCTGTAAATAGGAAGACAGCCCTGGGGAAGTTGAGTTATTGCCATGGTTCTTATCATTTCCCAGGCAAAGCTGGCACAGAAGTAAACACAATCTTATCCACACCTGTTAATGGAGAAACAGGAAATAAGGATGTTCATTAGCCACCCTGTCAGTGCTAATCATGATTTAACATAGCAAAGGAAGGCTTTTTGAAATAATGTTTTAATTGCGTCTGATAATTTCATGTGAACATACAATGCATTTTGCCCAATCTATCCTAACTCTTCCTTCTGACTCCTCCCAGATCCACTCCCCACTTCCTTCACCCCTCCCAACTTCCTGTTCCTCTCTTTTTTTCCTTTTATTTTTTTAATAACCCACTGAGTCTAATTAGTGCTGCCCATATAGACATGCATTAGACAGAGGTTGACCTACTGGGAGGTGGGGGACATGCCCTTAAAGAAAGCTAACGCTCCCTTGGCTGTCAGCCAAGAACTGTCCATAATGGTGCCTCAGCTAGGGGTGGGTCTCATGGGCTCCTCCCCTCTTCACGATGGAAATGCTGACTGGTGTGATCTTGTGTAAGTAGCCACAGCTGCTGTGAGTTCATGAATGTACTTACCTGAGGAGAGTCCCGATTATCCTGGCGTGACACCAGACTTAGAGTACCATTTATCCAACCTCAGAACTCCATTCTATTTAAGAGTTAGGCTCCTTCCTCAGTGATTGACAGAGTAAATAGGATTTTATTTCAAGAAAGTCCTTTCCCCATGTAAGATATAAGTCAGTCTTTGCCTTTGAAGTCTCGACACTCCAGCTGTTTCCCAGGAAATCTACTAGCCAGGCATGGTGGTTTGTAGCTACAATCCCAGCCCTCTGGAGGAGGCTGATGCAAGTGGAGGATCTTGAATTTAAGGCTAGCCTGAGCTGTATCATGAGAATTTGTCTCCAAAAACAAGCAAAAAGCCTTGTGAAGGAACACAAGCAGGTAGAGGATCTTGAATTTGTTAGCCTGGGCTATATCATGAGAGTTTGTCTCCAAAAACAAGCAAAAAGCCTTATGAAGGAACTCAAGCAGGTAGAGGAGCTAGAATTAGGTATATAGAGTACATGCTGTTGTCAGAGGGCTAAATTTCATTCAACATATGCCTGAATCATATGATGAAGTCAGTAATGGAGAGGAACGACTGGTTTTTCTCCTGATCATGATGGAGCTATAATTTTATTAGAATTGTCCTCTGTTTAGTTAGTTTGGAACAGTTTAGAACAAAAGTAGACATTAGAGACCATCTTACCTAGAAAACAGACTGTTTTCTAACAGGTCCTAGGTCACAGCTCAGTCCTTCATTTTCTCTATTCTGCTATTATGTGTACTTATGCAGCTCTTGTTCTCTCTCTCCATCCCACCCCCCTCACCTCAAGAGAAATTACAGCCTTCCATATGCTATAATATATCAGTGTATCCAGTGTTGGGACAACAAGTGGGACAGCCATATACAGTCCAAGCTTATGCCAAAGAAGAAGGTATGTGTGGACCAACCTTGTCGGGACGTGGGGAGGGTCAGGTTTCTATAATTTCATATACTGGGTTGTCTTAAAGTCCATTTCTACAATACCTTAATCTTCACCTTCAACTGTGTGTGTTTGACATACTTGGGCCCAGGTTATAGAGTCTAGATTTCAAAGGTGGGTAGATATAAAGAGTTCAACAAATCCAGTCACTTTGCACTTTACAAATGGGAAATGGGACTTCTCAGAGGTGAAACTCCTTGCCTAATGTCACAACAAAACATCAATTAGAGCTGTAATTAAAGTTAACATTAATTAAGATCAGTTCAGAAAGCCTACCAAGTTCATCATACACATGTTAAAAATGATTCTCTATGTGTGCATGTGTATACGTGCATATTGGTCATGTGCATCTTGGTGCATATGTCTGGAGGCCAGATGTCAGTCTCACTTATTCCTTAGGAGCCATCCACCTGTTTTATTTTTTAAGGATGTCTCTCGGGGATCTGGGGCTTGCCTATTAGTCTAGGCTGACTGTCCAGCAGTCCCCAGAGATCTGCCTGACCCACCTCTTCAGCTCTAATAGTATAAGCATAGGTCACCATGGCCAGCTTTGTACATGGACCTCATGCTTGCATGGCAGTCTTGCAGCTGCTTCCCAAATGACTTTTATGAAACAATGAGCATGGACTCATGATACATTACTCAGACTTTATTTCATTTTTTTGAAATTAACATCTTCTAGATTCAACAACTGGAAACGATCTCTTTCTGAATAAAGTTTGACCAGGGAGGTTAGTCTTCAGCTGATCATAGCTAAGCTTTACAGATAGGAATGCGATCTGGGTGCTAATTGGAATGGGGGATCTATAAAAAAAGCACATTTTCTTGGGGTTTTGAAATTCCTTGTCTTACATAAGATGCCTGACTGAAAACAAAACTAAAACAATCTCTACAACTGCCCCCTCCCATTCAACCACCTTATCCTACCCCCAGCATTATGGGTCTTGTTGAACAATGGTAGCAACTCTGGGGCAAGGGTGGTTCTTCCAGGATGTGATTCAGCCTTGGTTTTCCATATCCCTGTCCTCTGAAGTTCCAGTAAGAGGTCCTGAGACCAGGGTGGAGAACATCGGTTTGAAGACAGCCACAATCGTATGGCAAGAGATTCCCAAGAATATTAGAAATGGATTTATCAACAGCTACACTGTATTTTACCAAGCTGAAGGTGGAAAAGAATTCTGTAAGTGTGCTCAAGTTCAGCAAAATCAATTGACCCCTCCCCCCCAGATGATGTGACTAGATCTGACACAGCGGTGGCTTCCAGGGCTGTGACCTGTATGTAGCCTTACACAAATACTTAGCCTCTTTGTACCTCTCTGAAAGTAGAGTCAAGAGCACCACCTCATGAGTTGAAAAAGTTTAAAGGAGAATGTAGGCAAGAGTCCTGAAGAGGGATGGGCGGTGTCGAAGTGATTTCTCCTGCTCCATCATGAAATGGTTTGACCCAACCCCTCAGACTTTGATGACCTTTATTTCTGGCAGGATCTGCCCAACTTAAAGAGTGGGTTCATATGTGAGGACAGACCTTGTTGGGTGGTACTTGCCTTGCTGCATAGCTCTTTAAGCATAAGTTCTACTGCCCACTGCCCTGGATACTTTCTTTATTCTTGAGTCCACAGCATCTCCTGACACCATAAGCTCTGGGCTATGCTTGGATTCCCATTTAGGCTAAATTTGATTTTGTTATGGTAGAGCATACATAATGTAAACTTTAGTACTAAACATTTTAAGGTCTTAACATTTACCATATTGTGTAGCCATCACCTTCCCTCTGTATTCTCTGTATTCTCTAATCGGTCGATTCCTACTCCCCTCCTTCCACAGCTGCTGGTAACTGCCAGACTGTGTCCATTGATTGTCTATTCAGATTATTTCAAAGTTGTGATCAGGGCTGAGGGGGCAGCTTATTCATGCTAAATAAGTCCAAGCCCTTATTTAGCATGCACAAGGCTTTGAGTTCACTGCAAAATAAAATAAGTAAATCTGACAGTATATGGGTCCCAGGTATCTCATTTAGAAAATTGTTTTCCCCTAGTCACTAAAGATACCAAGCAGCCCTCTGTATAGTTGTTGGCCACCTGTCTATCATCTTCAGAGAAATGTCCTCTTAACTTCCTCACCCATTTTAACATTGGGTTTTCTTTGTGGTTTTGAGTTATGAGTTCTTTATATTTTGAATATTAGCTCCTTATCAAATATATAACTTACAAATATTTTCTTCAGTTTTGTAGTTATTTAAGTCTTATATTGTCTTCTGTCTTTTGATGAGCAAAAGCTCTTTAATTTTTTTTGTTTTTGTTTTCGAGATAGGGTTTCTCTGTTTAGCTTTGGAGCCTATCCTGGCACTCGGCTCTGGAGACCAGGCTGGCCTCGAACTCACAGAGATCCGCCTGCCTCTGCCTCCCGAGTGCTGGGATTAAAGACGTGTGCCACCAACACCCAGCTAGCTCTTTAATTTTAATGAAGTTCAGATTAATGTTGTCTTATGTAGTTACTTGAGTTTTGGGTATCTTATTTTAAAAACAATTGGAAGTTGTGGTTCATTTATTTTGGCTTTTGAAGAGTTTTATATTTTTAGCTCTTATATTTAGGTCTTTGGTCCATCTTGGTGGACTTGTTTTAAGCAGAAGTTGAGATAGAGCTGGCTAGACTTGCAGGTCAGGGCTTCTAGGGTCAGTACTGATGCACATTTTCAGTTTGGCTTGCTGTACTGTTCAGCTTCTATTTTTCCCTTCAGCAAAGACAGTTAACTCCCATGTCCTGCAATATGACCTGGAGTCCCTGACACGAAGGACCTCCTATACTGTTTGGGTTGTGGCCAACACTGGAGCTGGGGGAGCCCGTGGGGAAACAATAAACTTCAGGACCTCGTCAATCAGTGAGTACTAGCTTCAGGCCTCGTGGAGTTTACATTGGGTTGGAAATGCCATTTGTCAAGAGCAACGGGGAAGCCTGCAGCATACAGCAGAGTGTGAAGCCTGTGTTCTCTCTGGCTCCATCACCTCCCTGGAAGATGAACAATAAGGATTGCAGAGGAGCAGGCACATTGAGGGCTGAGTTAGACTGGTCATTTCACTCCTCCTTCCTGATAGGCAGCCCCAAATAACCTTTGGGAGAGTAATCAACATCAACTTCAGCCTCAGTCATGAGCAGTTCCATGACAGACTGTCATCCTACCTCACACTCACCAGTTTCTAAATGTCAGAGGTTGTGCAACAGGACCTTGGAAGGAAAAGTTGGTTGATCAAAGGTCACTGATGAACAGGAAGACACTTAATGTTACCATCTGTGGGGTGTGTGTTCAACTTACCAGCTTTTACATTAGAAACATGGAGAGCAAGACAAATTTACTAGATGTAACAAATAATGTAAAATATAATAGTTTCATATGGTGGTTGGCTAAGGAAGATATTTAATGGGAAAGCAGTGTATATGTACTAAATGAAGGGAAAAGCCTGTTATACAGAGCGACTTTCAGGATAGCCAGGGCTACACAGAAGGAACCTGTCTCAAAACACTGGTAAAACAAAAAACAAACAAGTGACACTGTCAAGTTTTGCAATAACTAGTATAAGCCAAAAAAATGTCTTCTTGAAGCATCTCAAAATCCTCTTGTTATTTATATGCTGAGAGGATAAAGTAGACTTGTGGCTCTGAAAACTGAGCAGAACATATGGCTCACACAGAAAACATGTGCTGTTCTGTGGGCTAGCAATGCCTTCTTGGAATTTTCTTTGATATTGTTTTTGAAAAATGTTTTAATCAATCATATTGTATTTTCAGAGCACTGAATACAAGTTAGGACAGGTCATGGAATTTTCCCTCAGGATCAAATTGAAAAGCTAGGATCCTGTGTTGGAACCCAGAATTTCTCTCCTCGGTCTATAGATTAGATTATAGACCACTCTACTTCTGTTCTGAATCCTCTTCAAGCCACCTTTTTTTCCTGAAAGATTATTATTATTATTATTATTATTATTATTATTATTATTATTATTATTAATGTGTGTAGTAAGTGAACTTATGTGGACCACATACATGCAAGAGCCTGCATAGGTCTGAAGAGAGTTCACATTGCTTGGAACTGAAGTTACAGAGTTATGAGCAGCCTTGTGGATGCTGAGACCTAGACCTGGATCCTTTGCAAGAGCAGCCAGTGCTCCTAACTCTCTCAGCCCTCTATAACCCACTCAGACACAGCAGCCACAGTTTAAATCTTAGATTCCCCGTGGAAAGCCCACCACTCACTAGCCCACCCCTTACCTCGTTTCCTTTCACTTCTTGCCTCTATTTCTCTAACCTGCTTCCTCTCCAAAGCTGGTGCATCTCCTTGGAGTGCTTTTCTCCATAATTGTACAGGGCAGGCTCTTTCCTGTGATCATATCTAGCCAGGCATGGTGCTGCCCGCTACCCTCAGCACTCAGGAGGCAGAGGCAGGAAGATGTGAAGTGTAAGGCTAGATCAGCCTACACAGAGAGTTCAGGCTAGGTTGGGCTATACAATGAGATCTTCTCCGAAAAATAGTGCAAAATTAAGTTAATATTTGATTTTTGTCAATGAATTGGGTAACTATATTGACAATGGTATTTTGTTCTCTTTGTTGCAAAGGTGTCTTGGAAATTATCCTCTTAACATCTCTGGTTGGAGGAGGCCTTCTTCTACTTAGCATCTTCACAGTGACTTCTGGTCTCAAAAAGCCAAAGTGAGTTTACAATTGACAGTGGATGCCTGAAAAATGAGCAGTAAAAAGCAGTGGAAGGCATTGTGGTGTCAGAGGACACTCCTCCTTGAGGGGGGTTCATTCTTTCATTCATTTGGTCCATCTTTGTGGAAATGATTAAAGGCCACACCCTCAGACTCATCAGGACTCTGACAAACATAAAGACATAGTTGTACAGATCCGTACACCAAGTCTAGTGTCCTCTGAGGCCAAGGAGTACCAATTGCCCCATAGTCTCTGTCTGCCAATGTCCGTTTATCACCTGAAGCTAGAGTGGAGAGGAGACTGATCCCTGGAATTGGAGCTGGGTTCTCACCCAGTTAGCCAGCTTAGGCAGCTCTACACTGCTCCTGTGAGCTTTCTCAGCCTAGCAGCTGTGATTCATTCGTGATCAAGCTAATGTCAGCCTTGATTACCAACAGTATGGAGCAGCCAAGTCACAGCACACATTTTTGTACATCACGCTCTTAAGTAGTCATCTTTAATTTTGGCACATGTCAAAATTGGGTCCCGCCACAAGGGCTTCTGACTCAGAGTTCCGGGATAGAGACTGGGAATCTGGGTTTTGATTAGCTGGTGATGTTGGTGCTGAAGCTGGGAACATACTTTGGGAATCACTATGAGGAAGTGTGGGTAGTTAGTGTATTAACTGTTCCCAAGAAAATATTTGCCAAGAGTGACTGTAATGCAGTTTCTAACATCAGGACCAGGGTAGAGATACAGGGGTGATGGAGAAAGGAAGGTAAGGATATAATTCCATGAGTCTTCTTTAGTGTTGTTCCACAGACAAATGCTTCATATTTCCTCTCAGGCAAGAGCATGGAAGCTTACTCATACTGAATAGGGAGCTTTACAGTTGCCTTCTATCTTTTATTTTCTATGGCTATGATAAGACAGTATATCAAGGCAACTTATAAACTTTTTATTTAAGACTTAGTTTCAGAGGATTAGAGTTCATGACAGTTATAGTAGGGAACATGGCAGCAAGGCTGGATTGGCTCCAGAGCAGTAGCTGAGTGCTCACATCTTGAGACACAGCCATATGAGACAGAGATGCATGGGCTTCTGAAACCTCAAGGCCTGCCCCCAGTAACACAGCTCCTTCTACAAGGCCACACACTCCTAGTCATTCCCAAACAGTTCTACCAACTGGGGTCCAGGTATTCAACCATATGAGCCTATGGGGGCCATTCTAATTCAAATAAGCACACTCTTTTTGAATATCGAGTCACACTGTTGCCTTTAGTAAGCTTTGCCCTTAGCTCAGCCCCACACTACGCTGGGACCATGCCCTGAGAAGGGACTTTGAGAGCCCATCCCACTTGAAGGGTTACACTCTGGCCCTGGACACATGGGGAAGGGCCCAGGACCAGCACAGGAAGATTTGGTGGACTTTGCAGAGTGTCTCCCTCCCCAACCCCCCACCCCTGTTGAGGGCCCTACCCTGCCTGGGGAGTGGTGGGTGGATGGGGTGGGGGGTAGGCTGGGGGTTGTGGAGGAGGGATGGGGGTAAGGGGAGGGAGAAGGGCATGTGAAACAAGCTAGTTCCCTAACATGAACTAATAAATAAATAAATTTAAAAAAACCAAAAAAACCCTCTTCCTCTAAAATCTCATCTTTCAATAGCAGGTTGACTGGTCTGTGTTGTCCTGCTGTTCCCAACCCTGCTGAAAGTAGTTTAGCCACATGGATTGGAGATAATTTCAAGGTACCCACTGCTGGGATTTGCCCTGAAACTCTGGCTGGGGAGGTGGAATGGGTAGATGGGAGTGGGAGAGTTTTTTCTGAACTGAAGTGTGAAAGACTCAGGGAACAACTGAAAGGATGGAATTGGCCTTCCCACTGTGACTTTCACCTTGTACTCTGGACTAGAGAAAGGGAATTAGCAGGGCCTGAGGTGTTCCCAACATAGAATGATAATGGAAGGAGGCCACAGAAGAGGGACTGTTTTACAGACTTGGGTGTGTGATGTGGAGCGAGGGGACCTGACTGTCAACTCTGTGGCCATTTAAAAAAACAGCCAAGAGCAAATTACTCTGGGGGCCATGGATGCTGGGGGAAGTGGCAATCCATAGGCAGCTTTCCATTGACGAGAGGTAGAGTCAGATATTTAATTGGAAGTAGAGTTTCCTGGTGTGTTTTTCCAAGTAGAAATCCTCCTTCTAAGTACGTTTTTAACCAGGAAACTTGAAAAATATCTACATTATGAATTTCCCTCTGAAGTGTAAATCAGCCCAGTGAACTGTAGCTCTTAAATCTTTATTATTAAACATCCTTTTGCAGGTTTTCCGTGATGCAAGAATTTAAAATGTTAGTCTTGTTTATTTCAACTTAGAATTTGTTTTTTAAGGGTGTTTTTGTACTAATAACTATTTTTGCTACCCCCTTTTCTTCACTTGTGTTATATATTGGCCACTTTGCTCTACTGTTTAAATTGGTGAAATGTACTTTGCACAGTGAGCAGGCCAGGCCTCTATAACATGTACTGATTCATTGCAAACTGCATGAGAGCAGCAGGAGACAAAGATGACAGAGCCCCTGTACAATTGTGAGGTGGCCTGAGATGTCCTGGTGGTGTCTGCCTTTATGGTTTTCTCTAAGGGTTCTCACCTGGAGTGTTGTAAATATACTGTTGAAAGCCTTGAGCTCTCTAGGATTGTGGGCCCTCAGTTGCTGCTCCTCAGGAAATGGAGCACTGTTGCCAAATCCCTGAGAAAGTGACAGATCATCATCATCTAGACCAGGGAGGGCAGTGGGGGCTGTATGTGGGGCAGGGCTTATGTGTCCCCAATCTAATGATTCAGTTCTGCCATGTGCATGACTTGCATGACTCCGGGGTGTCCCCTTTCCTTTTGTAGGGGAGATCAAGTCCAAAGGAGTCTGAAAACTCTGGGAACACAGAAGACAGGGCCTTAAAACCATGTTCTGTCCCTGCCGACCTCATTGACAAGTTGGTGGTAAACTTCGAGAATTTTCTGGAAGTTGTTTGCACAGAAGAAGCTAAAAAAGGTCAGGAGAGCATTTTGGGAGGAGAGACAAATGAGTATGTTACCTCTCCGTCTAGGCCTGACTGTCCCCTGGGGGAAAGTTTTAAGGAGTCCCCAGTTTTAACTGAGGTTGCTCCTGGAGACATCCACAACCAGTGTTTGGGAATGACAGAAGAGACATACACAGAATTCAACGAGCAACCTCTGTCTTCCGATCACAGTCCCGAACCAGAGCCTCTCTGTGAGGAGCAAGCTCCAAATCCATATCTGAAGAATTCAGTGACGACCAGGGAGTTTCTTGTGCATGGAAATATCCCGGAGCACAGCAAGAGAGAAATCTAAGTGCTGCTGTGATGTGAGGCCCTCTGAGACTGAGTGGCTCCCTTCCCTAGCAAAGACATCGAGACTTCCAGAAGCCCTCTTTGGCCCCTCCCTGTTCATTTTGCTGCTAAGCTGCCTGGAACTTGGTGACACAGATGTTAACTGGTGCCGAGAAGAAGAGAGTCCTTTACAGGGAAAAGTAGTCATTTTGTTCTGAGCACTCTCACCCGGGCCCCTTGAGATGATGGCTTCGAGAGAAGGACCGAGCTTTGGAGCTTAAGGGACCCCCTGAGATGGACTTGTCTAGTCTTATTCCCAGGAACCGAGTTGCTCCTGCCATTGTCAAAGCTTCCCTCAAGGTTCTTGATTCTCCACCTTTTCCCACCTTGTCCCTGAGCAATTTCTCAGAGGTCAGGAAGTGGAGTGGATTCCTCAAAGTTTGCCAGGCTCCTCAGCCCTTCCTCCCTCTCAAGGGTCTTTATCAGTGCCCTTCCAGGGACTCTTCATCACCAACTTATATTTAGTTTATTTTGCAACACTGGGGGGTTAAACCCAGAGGGTCTTGTTTGTGCTAGGCAACTGCTCTACCCTTCCCATTCACCCCAAGGTTAGTACACATTGACTGCTGGTACATCAAGAAATTTGAGAACTCTCCAGAAAGACACCAGCATGGACTATGGGCTAGGTAACAGATCTGCCTGCTCTGTAAGCCGTTTCCCAGCTCTTGATGCTCTTCTGTCTGTGCTATTCCTGGTAGTAGAAGGCACCAAACATTGTAGTGACTTTTGTTCAGAGACACCGCCCCTCACACTGGCTTGGAGTCCAGGAATGCTTACTGAGTAGACCCTAAAAGGTCTCTTCCAGCCACGCAAATCAGGGCCTGGGAACATGCAGTGCTCAGCGACTCTATTGCTGTGTCCTGAGGACCATTGTGCTTTGCTATAGCCAAGCACAGAACTTGTCACAAGAGAGAGGAGTCACCCTGGTGTATTTGTTTAGTCCTGGGGAACTGTGTGGCTGTGCACAGTGGATCAGGTCACTGGGAAGCTGAGAAAATCACAGTGGGCTAGGTGATGAGTGAGTGGCAGGAGGTACAAAGTCATACACAGCCACCAAGCCTAGAAAAGTTTGAGTAGGCAGTGCTTGGATTGCAGACATAAATTTCATAAACCATCAATTCATGTGTGCAAATGCATTGCTTTACTTTCCTCTAACTAGAAATAATCTCTAGCCCAAGACCCTGACATTTCAAAATAATGAAAGACCAATTCTCCTGTCAAGACTTGGCCTCCCCAGTCCTCCCTGGAACTGAATCTGAGGATGGCCAGGAAGGTAGCACCTGCAGGACTGCACTGGAAGTCTTCTCCAGTCATTTGTTTATCCACATACAGTTTGATCAGTAGACTCTGCCCTGTTGAATCATCAGCCACTTTTCTTGGTTGCAGTTTTACTTTGGGCACAGGAAGTCAAGGCTCTCTCCTTCCATAGGCCATTTAAGATGTGAGTCCCTGTGTCTCAGTGGCTGTAGTTTTCCCCAATCCTGCTCTTTGTCCATGGTTTATACAGTGACTTTTTATAGATTAGGAAATCAGGGAGAGACATGAGGGAGCCAGGACTCTCACTTAAGTCCCTTGTCTTGCTGGATAGTGACTTAACAGAAGGGCTATTTGCCCCCAGGGGGCTGCCCTGTTCCCTCACTGCTGTGTAGCTCTGCCACTCTCCTGGGAATCTCTGACTGGGGAGGGATAACCAGGGACAATCCCACACCTCTTCTCTCAGATCCTGTGGGAGGGAGGTTAGTGGAGCTGGCAGTCCCAAAGGGGTCATGGGAAAAAGACATGGTGAGGCTTTTGAATCTAAAGCCCATGAATGGGGGTGGCATGCACACACACGCACGCACACACACACACGCACGCACGCACGCACGCACGCACGCACGCACGCACGCACGCACGCACGCACGCACATGAGATGCCTTCTGCCTGCCCTGCTCCATTACTGATGGCAGCAGCATCTTGGTGTTTTTTGCCCTGCTGTCCTGCCCCCTCCTCTGTTTCATTTTAGTCTTCCTGGTTTGCCTCCAGTCCACCTTCCCCTCTTTCCAGGCTCTCTGAGCGGCCTCCAACTCTCTATTTCTTTTCACTGCTTTCTTTGCTTCTCAGCCACCTTGTGCCATACCCCATATTTACCTTTGTTGGGCAGGATCATTGAAAGCCCTGTGTTGTTCCAAGTGGGCCTCAGCTCTAGGGACAGTTGGTTTTCCTTTCACACTGAGTTTTTCAGGAGGAATCACAGGATGCAGGTTCAGAAGCCATGCTGGCCTCTCCTGGATCAAAGCACCACATCCATCCACTCTCAGCATCCAGGGGGTTGCCTCCATGAGTAGAGAAGGCCATCTGTGTTTTCTCTTTACTGTCAAAGAAGAAGAATGCCGGGAGGGCTCAGGGAAGTCATTAAGTGGCAAACTCAGTAAGAAATGATGAAATTCATGATAAAGAGCTTTCCAGGACCCTTGGAGCCATGAAACAGCTAGATTAATGCCATCCATGGCCTTCCATTTACAATAATAGAAAACAATAGAAACCAAAAAGTGGTGCATCCCAGGAGGCAGTACCATGAAGAGCTGCAATACTAGACCCCCCAAGGGGTGTGGTGGGGCTTAAGACGGGAGGGGTGAGAAAGGAATTGCAGTAAGGATCCCTCCCAGTGTGTGTGCAGCATGTGCCTAACCACTGGCTCCAGCCCATCATCTTTCCATCAAGCTCTTAGCTATAGCAGATGGCTAGGTAACCTGTAGTCCAAGATTCTCAGACTGCGTCTCTTCCCAGACCAATTTTGGTGCCGTTTGAATAGAGCTATAAGCTAATAGTGATGTTGGCATTTTTAAATGGTTGGAAACAAAAATCAATGGAAGAATATTTTATGATGTGAAAGTATATAAAATTAAATTTTCACTGCTTGCAAATGAAGCTTACTGGAGGAGGGATCTAACTATACTTCATTTACATATCGTCTGCGGCTGCTCCCCCACCCCTTAGTACATGTTGATACACAGTATGAGGACCTGAGTTCAAGTCCCCAGCACCCACATAAAGAGCTGGGTGTCACCATATTTGTCTGTAACCTCAGGGATGCAGGGGCTGGAGACAGGAGGATTCCTAGGGCATGCTAGCCTCCAGACAGGATCCAGTGAGAGATCCTGTCTCAGGGGAATAAAAGAGTGATAAAAGAGGACACCCAATCTCCCTCTCAGACCTCTAGGCACATGCATGGGCACACATGCCTGCATACGTGTGGGCATTCATCACACACATGGTAGATACAAACCCCAAAACAAAATCAGGAAGGATATCTTCCTGGTTTTCGAGGTGAGTGCCTGCCTCCTGGAGAAGGGCACACACTTAGGGTGCCCTAGCTCTTACCACTTCCTGTCTTCTACCCAACCCTGTGGAGAGTTGGCAGCTGTTTGTCATTTGTACTGGTTGTTCTCAACCAGGGTGGGTTTGCCCTTTTGCCTCCAGTGTCAGAGGAGCCATGCCAGGAGATGCTTTGACTGTCATGGCTGGGAGGGGTGCTACTGTCCTCTAGCAATGCTGAAGTCTATCCTACAGGGCACGGCCAGCTTCACCCTCACGGCTAAGGATTGCCAGTTTCCAAATGGCAGCAGCACTGAGGTTGACTGCTTAGAACAGGCACCCCAAACTTCCACATACTTGTATGCTGTGGCCTGTGAGACAGTCCTTAGTCAACGGGCTGGGCTGAACATAGTGACGATGATAACACCTTTGTTCAAAGTGTCTTTTCTTACCTTTGTCCTGTCCACTTGGGGCTGTTTGCAAAGTTGAATTTGCTAATGGTTTTATGATCACATCTTGTTTGATACAATCTCAGAAGGCTACAGTGATTTTCAGTATTACCAGAGGATGTCTGAGGGGTAGTTTGTCCTTTTCCATTAACAGTCCACTGCTTCACTGCTATGAGCTTGATTTTGCTTTTGTTTTATGTGAATGTTAATATAATGCCTATCCATAATCAATTGATGTAGAGGAGGTGTTGGTCTGAGAGAATCAAGCCTAGAAGAGGATAGTCAGAGGATATTCCCTCTGCACACTGGGGTCAGTGGAGAATTTTTGCAGGAGCACAAACAGCATCAGTCCATGGTGGGAGAGCCCAGTGCATTGAGTTCTTCATGCATAGTTCTGAAGCAAGGAACCTGCCCTGAGCTGCTGAGAAGGGTATAGAGGAAGGTCTCAGGAAAAGCTGAGTCAGCAGGGCCTTGCAGCACCCTAGAGAAGGTTGGATGCATTTGCTGTCAATTTCACTTTTAGACATGGGATCTTTTGTCTTTCTCAACTGTAATCCCTTGTGGATGGGATAAAATGGAAGAGAACTGTCCTGAGGCCTAGACTTGAAATGGAAATAAAGATGGAACTGGAAAGGTCACAGAGTTCTAAAAGATTTCAGCAGCAAAGAACACCAGGCCTGTGTCCCTTGAGGCTGGGCATGTCTACTTCTCCACAGATTTATTATGTGTCTAGGTAATTTATGACAAGTGAAAGGCAGTTCTGTGGTGCGGAGTGCAGATAAAAACATGACAATTGCATGGGAGTAGAGTTCCAGGTCCTTGATTGACAACATGTGTAACTTGACCATCCATGTAAGAAATCCATAAGGTCACCTTTATAATTTCTGCACTTCTAAGGTTTCACCTACTTCATTCTTTAATCTGTAAGCTTGGCCAGGTATGATAGTGCAGAGGTGAGGCAGAGGCAGAGGCAGAGGCAGGAGGATTGCTGCAAGTTTGAAGCCAGCATGGTCTACACATAAAGACAGCCATGATTCCAGAGAGCAAGGGCAGCACACGATGAATAGAGCTCAGGGCCTGTGGCAGTTAAGGAACCCCAGGTGACCAGGACTCTCTAGGTCATTGCACTCTGTGTTCCTCCTGCCAGGAATCCCATCTTTCATGAAATCTCTTGTCAGCTGAGTCACTTCATTACTATAGCACATTATCATAAATTTAATTAAGCAAACATAATTATTGTGGAGTTGTATAGGTTTGAAGTCCAGCTTGGTCTCTGCGCCCAAGTTAAAGCTGTGCCATGTTCTGGGGAAGTATGCTGGCCTTTCTAGCTCCTAGAATGTGTCCTCCTGGGGCTGTGACCTCTTCTTCCCTCTACCAAGTCATAAGGGCTGTGTTCTGCTTTCCCACAGTCATGTCTCCTGAGCCGGTTGGGCCTGCGGGCTGCTTGAGGCTTGGAATTCATCACATTGCTGACATGCTGTCTAGATAAACCTACACCCAAAATTAGGCCACTAACACTCCCTAACTCCCACCAGCTCTCAGGCCCAGCTGCACTTCTCTGTCATTCTGTTTTGCAGAGATAGCTCTTCAGCCTTATTTGGGGCACAGAGCAAATGAATGAGCATCATCTGCCAGGCAGGCTCCAAGACCAAAGGAGCTTGGGAAGGCAGGACTAAGCTCATTCATCTCTATTCAGAATTCCAGATGATCCACGGGACACACAGGTCCACACCAACTAATGAAATCTTTGGAGGCCAAGGGGGGCTGAGACAAAGTGGCCAGGTGCGGTGGTATAGACCAGTGATCCCAGCGTAGCACCCGGGAGACAGGTAAGAAAGAGTTTGAAGCCAAGCTAGAGTATGTAGTGGACCCTGTTTCAAAACAGCAAAAGCCAACTAGCAAACCTACCAACCAACCAACTTTTCGTCCATTCATCCACCCATCCATCTATCCAACCAACCAACCAACCAACCACAGCTAGACATGTGGACATCTCTGGTTTCTGTGCTTCAAAACTGCCTTTATAGGAAACAGCTTGAAAGAGCATACCAACAGTTTGCTTAGACACTAGGCTGTCCATTTCTCTGTATCAATATGTACTAAGGGGTCTATTTGGCCCCTCCTGAGATATGTTTATCTGCCAGGCTGTGCTGTCCTCCAGGAAATAAATTGGAGTTCCAGGAAAAAATGACAGACTTGCTGGTTTCTACATAAGCCTGGCAACAGCCTCCTAGCTGATGAAATCAGGACATTTCCAGGGAACATTTTTTTAATCCTTTAATGGGAGGGGGTATGCTCCACCCAAGGCAATTGCTCTCAGACCTCCAATATTTCCTTCTCCTTTTCTAGAATAGAGCCTCAACAGTCCTCCCAAAACCCAAATTAAAACCAGAAGCAGCAATGACAACAAAACCCAATACAAAAAAACTTCTATGCAAACTGGAGAACAAGGGATTCCTGCACTATGAGTGTGCTTTGAACACACCCCCCCAACCTCCCCAAGAAGTCCTTGGCTGGGAAAGCTGAGGGAATGAGCCCAGGACAGTCCCCTGAGCAAAGTTTGTGGTACCAGAGGCCCATTGCTGCATAGCAGTATGGATACTTAAGGTCCACAGATGGGCACTGTCCATAAAAGCAGACAGTATGTGAGAGGAGACTTGGTTAACTTGATGTGTGGGAAGAAAGGCAGGCTGGCAGAGCCCAGCAGATCCTATGTGTTTATTCATAGTATGGTATGTGAGTTTGGGTCCAGACCTCATAAAGGGACAGAGGGGAGGAAGTGAGAGTTGGTAGAGCCTTGAGGACATTTACACACTTTGGTCTTTACAATCCCAGTCTACACCATCATTAAATTATGGGCTCAATGACAAAGAATTATCTGACTCATTTTCTGCCTGTAATACTCTATATAATGCAAATAACACAGCCGCCTTCTGTAGCCCCCACCTCCACTCCCATGGCCAACTACTTTCTCTTCTGTCATTGTGGTAGCTGGATCTCCTGAGAGAGATCATCAGGCACAAGCTAGCTAAAGGCTGGGAGCAGTTGCTACCTCACACCCAGCTAATATATTTGTGACTATGGTATTGGGGAGGGGGTGCAGGATGAGAGGGGACAGAATCAAGCTGCACTGAAACTCACATCTTCTCATACGTCCAGGACACTGGTGTTTTTGCACTGTAGATCACTCCTCTGGTCCACACAACCAGTCACTATACCTGTAGCCAAGTTAATAGTTGGTCTCAGCTTTGAGGCTTTCCATGGTGGTTCATGATCTTTACAAGTGTTGGAGAGTCTGGAGTGACTTAGACTAGTATTCAAACATCAAGTTTAGAAAGTACTTTGCAGCAGTTTTTAACCTGTGGGTCCTGACCTTTCACAGGAAAGATATCCTGCATATCTGATATTTATTTACATTACAATTCATAACAGAAGAAAATTATAGTTCTGAAGTAGCAATGAAAATAACTTTATGGTTGGGGGTTCCCACAACATGAGGACCTGTATGAAAGTGCAATAGAGTGGTTAAGAACCACTGTGCTAAAGTAACCAAGGGGGATGAAACAAAATGATACAGGAACCTGTCAGTGTCACTCAGGCATATATGACAAGATTTGTGTCAAGCTGGAGTTCCTAGGGCAAAAATTGACAAAAGTGATTTTGAGTTCCTGGATATTTTCCAGCTACAACTACACAGTCCATCAAAGAGTGGAAGGGGTTCAGGAGATCTCACTGTACCTACTATTTTGGAGGGAGGGAGACCTCATGAGTTTGGAATGGTTTTAAGCTTCCCTAGAGGATGACCAAGGCTGCCTACAGGTGAAGACCATGCAGGGTGACTGATGACCTCACATTGCATTGTGAACTTGTTGGTCTCTTACAAGGTACAGAATATTTGGGCTTGGTTGGACCTGGGGTCCTTGGCTCCTGGAACACCAATAACAGAGGGCATCTGCTAATGGATGTGGAGACGGAGTGGTATAAAGGACTAAGTTTGTCTTGAGCGTGGGCAAGTATGTTCATTTCTCACTTAAAAGAAGCATATTGAGGTAGAGACTGTTCATTCTGCTTGGGGTCCTTGTATCAGCTAGGTGTTTGTAACCAATGGAGTCAGGCCTGTGGCAATAATAGCCCAGAACCTTTCTGAACACACCACCACCACCA